TTTTTTTTCTTTGTTTCAAAAAAGATATGATAACAGTTTTTTACTAAAAATATGTTTTATTACGTCCAATGTAATTCACTTTTTAAGAATTATTCAAACATTTTTCCTATGCATAATTTTTTTTTTTAACAACGCTGTCGTAATTGTTTGCCAAAGTTATTTAAAAGTATAATCAGCACGTGTATGTATATTTACATATGTACATTACATTTAGCACAAATTCAAGGAGATACATATTTAAAGATGTACATACATAGGTATTTACATATCTATATTATTTCAAAGGTACAGCAAAAGTTGTTGTACAAACGTTTTGTACATTAAATCAATATTCTAGTCAAAATGAAAATCAAATAATATACATATTTTGAGGAAATGTTATTATGGAGGAGAATATTACATACACTGCCGGCAAAAAGTATTGGCACATATGCTTTTTTACAATATATGCAGCAATTTTTGTTGTAATATTTTTGCGAAATTTTTTTTATAAAAATATGGTTCATTCCACAACAAAAAACATAAAAATATAATTTCTAAACTTTGTGGAAAACTCGCGAAAATTCAGCAACTTGAATAGAAGTTTTAGCTACGGATTACCGTTGATTTTTGGATTTTTTTCCGGCAGTCTTCCAAACCAAAAAATTTTTCAAAAATACTTTATGTGAAAACAACAACAACAAAAAATTTCAAAAATCAATGCGATTTTTGACTAACTCCGAACTTGCATTTTTTGTACTAGAATTTAATGGGCTACAAGTCTGCATACTGCATAAAAAAGTTGCAAATTTGCTGAATTTTCGCGAAGTTTCGAAATTATATTTTCATTTTTTTTTGTTGTGGAATGAACCATAATTTTTACAAAAAATTATCGGAAAATTATTACAATAAAAATTGTTGCATATATTGTAAAAAAACAGCTGTGCCAATACTTTTGGCGGTACACAGTTTTTTAGCTCCTTCAATTTTAGTACGATAATGTGCAAATTTCAAGTAGCTACGAATTACCGTTAATTTTAGAGATTTTTTTTTGTCGCATTGGCTTCCATATAATGAATAAACTAAATTTATTCGTATATGGAAGAAATCCGCAACACCTTTGGCGAAAAAAATTCTAAAAAATCAACGGTAACTTTCAGCCACTTGAAACTTGTACATTATCGGACTAAAATTGAAGGAGCTAAAAAATTGTGTACTCAAAAAAATTCTAACACTTCCGAGAAAAAAGTTTGAAATTTAGGTGGAAATTTGTTGCACTCTTTTGTAGATACTTTTCTACAAATTATTAAACTTGGATTTATATGGGGTTTGTCTGAGAATGAACTATATTTTAATTGAAAATTCTTAAAAATAAATAAATAAACATAAGTGGCACACAATATGACTTTGAAATGGCGTGCTATAGATATGACCGATACTGTATATCGACTTCCGCTGATTTCTTATTCTTAAAGCACTAAAAGCTTATTCTTATTCTTAAAGCTTAATCGAAATATTTTAATTTGTGTCGAAATTATTGAATGCAGTGATTTAGAATTAAATGTTTATTTATGCTTAACTGTTGTAGCTACTCTTTTCTTACCTTTTCAATTTCATCGGCATCATATATGAACAGCAAATCGGGTCGTCCAATGAGTCCACTAAAACGCACTATACGTCCATAACGTTCATGTAATAGCGATGAAATTTTCGCGACATCAGATATTGTGTACTGGCCGATGATAGGCATCATGCTGTGTGCCAAAGAATGAAACAAGTCTTAATTAAAAGCTATTATTTAAAACGTAAATAAAAAATATGCATTTTATGGCGGCGGGTGTGAAACTAATTGGCAAGTTCGTCTCTTAAGTCTTTTGGTAGGCAATTCGCATGCATCTCACGATTGCCGGAATGATGTTGACAGCAAATGCCAGAATTTAATGATTGGCATTTGTATGCAATGCACTTTGACGAAGTAATCATAGGCTACTAAATTTGTTAGTGCTAATGAATTTTTTTCTTTGATTCAAAATTAATGCAAGCAGTCAGCTGTTTAAGGTACGTGATGGAAGAAAAAGTTATGCGAGGCATTAATTCGTATTTTTATTTGGATTAAAATATTTTGACCCTGACTATTTAGTTTCAGTGTTGTCTATATATGTATATATATTATTTTTCGCTGACTTTGTGCATAACTAAAGGAAACTATATTGAGCCTTTGTACTATAGTACTATCGTACCCGGTCAACTGGTAAAAGGAGAGGGCAGAAAATGTCTCACTGGTGCATAAACTACAGGGACCGAGAACGCGTTGCAGTTTTTTTTTTAGTTCTGCATGAGAACAAAATTTAATGTCAAGAACGTTCATACAAAAGAACTAAGCGGCAAAAAAAAATGAGAACAAAAGGTTTAGGAACGTTTGCGTAAAGAAAACAAATGCGAACAAAACTCTCGTTAACGTTCTCAAGAAGAGCAGGATGAGAACGAGACTTTATTCATGGAGGATCAAATAAGCAACAAAAGTCTGGGGAACGTTCTGCTAGGGAACAAAACGAGAACAAAAGTTTTGGGAACTTAACGTTAAGAATGAGAGGGGAGTCTGCGTGTTGGGATGAAAAATCGTTGCAGTGAGAACTACGATTCTTATTTCTAAGCCATTGGAATTCTGGATCATTTATCATTAGGGGGAACTGTCTTTTTATGGAAAAATTTTTTTTTTTATTTTTTTGTAAGAAAAGTCTTTCGTTGACTTAATTTGCATAATTATCTTTCAGTTCTTTTTTGATTAATTTTAATATTCAAATATTTCACGCCAATGAAAAAAATTTATTTGATTTGAAGATTTGTTCCCGTTTCGTTCTCTGTCAGAAAGTTCTTGAGACTTTAGTATCCAAATTGTTCATCGATAGAAAGTTCCCTAGACTTTTGTTCCCGTTTAGTTCTTACCCAAAATGTTCCGGATACTTTTTTCCCATTTTGTTCTCTTAGAAATGTTACCGAAAGTTTTGTACGCCTTTTGTTCCCATTGAGAAGCTTCTCGACAGTTTTGTTCCCATTTTGGTTTAGGTTTAGAAACATTATTGGGAACAAACCTACGAGAACGACATTTAGTTTCGAGCATACCTTTTGTTCTCGGTCCCTGATAAATTATAATTAGACCATGACTATCAAATATTTTTTAACGGATATTAAATTATTTTTTTTTTTACATTTAAAATCTGCAAATCCCCTAACAATAATACGCAGATAACTTGACGTTATCATTTATATTTAAAAGTGCATATTTGAACTGCAAAAGAGGTTGAAGGTTGCGTTTAATTTTTAAGTATAATAAATATCAGGCTAAATAGACTAACATACTTATGTATGTATGTATGTGTGTATATATAAATTAGTAAAAATTTTCATGAAATCTACAAAGCTAAATTCGTTCATTTGACAAGAAGGTGTGAACTGGTATTTTGTTAAGTCGGGAAAAATCTTTTTGGCACATCATTTTTTTTTCTCTTGAAAACAGAGGTATCAATTAACGCCACCAAACAACAAGCCAAATATGAATTACCAAATTCCATTTGCAATTTGTTTTTTTTTTTTAAATAGAAATATCGTGTGTCACTTGTCATTTTCGTTTATTTGCTAAATAAACATACTTAGTAAGTAAGTCTTTAAGTAAATGTGCAAAACACTTAACTGGAAGCATTGTAGCAGTGATAAATAGTAAATAAAGCGCCCATAAAAGCCATTGAACCCTAGGCCTATCCAGCTACATATGTACATACATAATATTTGAGGCGGCCATAAAATTTCAAATATTAATTTTGAGAAGAAGAAAAAAGGTCAAGTTTAAGTTTGCTTATACGCATCATTAAGAGGCCCGCTTGTTATTGTTGCTTTTGATGCACGCTACTGCATCTTATTGTTGTTCATATTTCCAATGCGTTAGCGCTGCAGTCAATAGGCCATTAGGCACAAAGCCAAAGCGAATTGCTGGCTGGCCGCCGCCCAAACGCGAAACCAGCCAGGGTGCCAAGTTAGTCAGTTGGCGAAGAGGCGGGAAGAAGGCGTTGGCTCCAACTAATCGGATACTAAATAGAGGTGTTAAAAAGACTAATTTTCGTTGACCTTGAAATATTTACATATTTATGTATCTAACAATGCGAACGCTAAGTGTGCTAATGAACACAAGTG